TTCATACGGTTAAAAACAAAAATATTTAAGATAACTAATACTATAGAATAAAAAGAGAAAAAAGAAGTGTTACCTCGTAACTACATCGAAAAAAAAAGAAGATTTTTTGACGTTACTAATGACGTAAATAACGTTAACATCGTGATAATACACATCATAGTGTATAGTAAGACCTAGTATTTGCAGATGTCGGAAAATTTGAAAAATAGATTGTCATGAATCTAGTATCTGATGAGTAATAAACTTTTCTGGTGATAACTCGTATCATCACTAACAGAGAACAATGGAGGAAATGAGATTTTTTTCCCTTACTATAAAGTAATCTTTTGGCAAATACGATGTATCACATATAGTGTTGCCCAAATGCGAGACCAAGACGAGTCTTGGTCTTGCAAACTCGGTCTTGGTCGTGGTCTTGGTCTTGGGCGAGAGTCTCGCAACAGTCTTGGAGTTACCTATTAGCTTATTACTATACAGATATTACTATATTTTTTTAGATAGGAGGAATCTAACTAAGCCTTAATGAAAAATTAGAGGAGTTAAATGCAAAAGTATATTGGTTATACCAGTTATTTACATATAGTAACTAAGATTTTCAAGTATTTGTTACTGTTTTGCCTTAATTTTTATTTTTTAAAAACGATTTTTTTTACCAGTCCTGGTCTTGGTCTTGCAACAGTTAGGCGGCCTTGGTCTTGGTCTTGCAAAGTGCAAGACCAAGAACGATTTGGGGTAACACTAATCAAATAGTAGTCATTGATAAATTAACTATTGAATATATAGCTAGAGCTTACCTTTAAATATGTATGTGTTTGGTTTTTCTGAATTTCAGTCTAGAGTAAAGTAGTTTAAGTTGTTAGTTAAGTTTATTAGAATATAAAATAGCATAGAAAAGAATTTTTATTCTGGGACAAAATCTCTAAAGAATAACAAAAATGAACAAATAAAAAAATACATATCTGGCCAAAAACTAGCTTAATAAAACTTCTGACAATAAATACAGTAATTTAAATAATAATTTTCAAACAACTAAAAATTAAATAAAATCCTTTCAACAGTAATGTGAGAAACAAAAAAAACAAAAAACAAAAAAATATATATATATTATATAGAAAAAAAAATCGAAACCTGGAGAAAAGAAAAATATTATTGGTGTTAAAAACATAAGCAATCTTCTAACTTAAAAAAAATTCTAAAATATACAGTAATCTTTTTTTAAATATATTTTTATCTTATGGTCTGATTAAAGTAATGAAACTGACAAACCAGGCATGGGGAAGGATAGCACCCAGCAGTCTGGCTTGAATCTATAACCATGGTTTGTCAAGGAAGGAGGTCTCTCATCCAGCGCCTTTTTAGTCTTCTCCTCGTATTGATGGGTATGTCAGCAGAAGCCATATTTCTGATTACTATGTACGTCCTTAATTTAAAAAATATTACGTTGATTTTAACTTGTGGGTCCCTTGTATGTATCGTATGTGTCGGAGGAATTTGATTGTTGTCAATATAAACTGGAGGGCAGGCATTTTTTTAAAGATTAAATGCAACAAAACTTTACATAATGACTTACGACAACCAACTATCCATACGCGATCTCAACTCCAAATTTCGTTTTATACTAAACGGACTTATTAATGACATGGTCACAGCTGACATGCCTATCAGGAGACGACTAAAGAGGAGCTGGATGAGAGATCTCCTTTCTGATGGAATAATCAATCGAAGAATGCTGTACTATTTTTTTCCTCATGTCTAAAATGTCAATTCTTCTTATTAGTTACAGCATATCTGCTTACTGTCAAGCTCATGACAGGTGTCGATGGAAATATGAAGTTTTATGTTTGGGTTATTCATGATTTAGTCGAATTATCCATAATTTGAAACATTTTGTCATTTATATAAGTAATATTGATGATCTGTGAAAAAATGTGTGAGTAGCGTCTAATACGCATGGAGCTTTCTTCTTCCTTTCAAATGTATTAAAATCCCAAGCAAATCTCAAATTAAGGGTTTATTATGATATAATGAAGCCAGTTATCGCATAAGGCAGCGAGATCTGAACAATACTCTGTAAGATAACCGAAGATATCTAGGATCAGAATACTATCACATGGAGAAGAAAGAACAATAACCAGAGCTGCTTACAGAAACGGATCAATCAATATAACAAGATATGAAAGCAAGGAGGTTAAGATGGCTGAGGCATATAGCTCAGAGCAATCCATCTGGAAGCCTCAATAAGATGCAAAAGACCAAGTGGAAGGCAAATTATTCAGTAAACTACTAAATGTTTATTGCTTCTGTTTATTCGACGTTTCGATCCCGTTTTTTTATAAGTTAACCATGGGATCCTCTTCAAAGTTTTAAAATAGAGCTTCGATACCTCAGGCCAAGGACACACAGACAGTCCCAGTACATATATTAAGGAACTGAATTATCTTATATATATATATATATATATATATATATATATATATATAAGAAACCTACCGCAATGTAAGATGTCATTGGTTAAGACACCCGAGGGCATCAGAACTGTGGAAGGACAAGAGACGCCTGCATGGACACGGCTATGCAAAGGACTCTAGTTCCCCCGGAGGCGGTCACGTCCCAGGAGCATTATCCTGCAGGACTCCTTCGGTGTGGGAGAGCCGTCCACCAGGGAGGTCCTTTTTACCAAGGGCTAGCGGGCTCACGTAGTCTAAGTGAAGTACCTTACGTCACTGGTCGTTGCTCCCGGCTGGCTGCCTTCCAGGATCCGGGGCGAATCCTCTACGTCGGCCCTGGTCTGCGACACGATTAGCTCTCCTCCCAGGAGTACGCCGCTGAAATATCGCCACACTAACTCTGCCAGATTTATGGAGGCGATCAGTTCTCGGCCGTGTAAGTTATGGAGTCCGATCAATTATCGGCCAGTTTCATATCAGGTCAGCTTTATCATTCGCACATATTTCTTTATTTAACTTTAAAAAATCGCTCGTCACACAGTGAGTAATCTTGCGGTACAAAAGACAAAATATGAATAGAAATTTTTTTTTGGAAAATTGCTTATAACGTATAATTATGAATGAATGAATTTTTTATTGAGTGTTTATACAATAAAAGTATCCAAGCTCAATAAAAATATATATGGCTTGGTTCTTAAAACCGTCATCCGGAGGCTGGCCTTGGCATAACAACTATTATCGATAGAATAATATAAGCTAAAACCTAATATATTAATGTTAATAAATAAAGTGTTAACGCTAACATATACAGAAATACAATGTATCAGCTGATAATATCACAAATATAATTGCATATATATAAATACATACACATTTTTAATATAGATATTTTATAATTACACGGGATCGAGTTTTGGGGCTCTACTAAAAAATCAAATTCCTCTCGTATCCAATCCCTACAATCCAAAATCCTTCGTAAAATCCTTAATGCTCCCTACTTTGTCACAAATAAAATCATCCATAATGACCTTAATGTACCATATGTTTCCGATTTAGCTCAATCCAGATACCTGTCCTTTCATAATAAACTTCTGAACCATCCGAACCCTCCGACAAGATATTCCCGCCCCTACTCTATTTTGATTGAGGGAGGAGGCGATTCCCCGCTCTCCCCTCTCCCTCCAAATTCAGCACCTACGTTTATTCTACTTTTGCTTGCATATTTTTTAAGAAGAAGAAAGCAATAAAATTTCTTGAAATAGGCAAGGGATACCCCCATCGACCTTTGTGTGTAGAGGGGTGAGGAGACTCAGCCGATGTGTGTTTACTATAAATAAATAAATATTACCCTTAGAATTTTCAAAAGCAAGAGTACACAAGATGGTTTTTATTAATCAGAATAACTTGAAGATATTACTATTTGAGTTGAATTTATCGGTTGCATAATGTTTTCGAAGTGTTAGCCATCGCGTTCGAAAATAAACACTACCATCAGAAAGGACAATAGCGCCTTGTCCCACTTAAGATGGCTGGAGCAGATCCAACTGTCGTCATGTTTTTTATTTCTTTCAACGGAAGGATAATGTCGCAACTTTTAATGGCATATTTAAAGCTTATCTTATTATTCAGGTTTTTAAAAGTTCTTTTATCACTTTATGATACCCCGGCAGTAATTAAAATATATATCCAGGAAAAGAATTTTCTGAAGAATTTCAGTTAAAATTTCTTTGATGACTTAGGACAAACTGATTAAAGAAATTTTTGCTGAAATTCCTGAAAGTTTTGTTTCATTCTGATGATTCAACAGTGGACTTTATAATATAATATTATAATGATATAATACTTTACAATTCAACAAAGTAACAAAACTTACCCACCACTAAAATATATATCATATTATTAAATAGATTTTTTTATAATTATAATTGTAATTATTATAGACGAGAAAGAAAGAAACTATTTAAAATAAGTTTGAGATGAATAAGTAGTCTATTGTTTCAGCCTATGTAAAATAATTTGTAAATGGTTCTTAAAAAATATATATATATATATAAATATATCATATTATTAGAGGATCCAGGATTAATTTTTTTATTTTTTAATAAATGGCTTTTTTAAAATTATTATGGACGAGAAAGAAAGAAACAATTTAAAATAATGTTTATATGGTTCTTGAAAAAAAATATATATATCAAGCAGAGGGATCCTATTATGTCAATGTATTTCTTTTAATTTATCGTTCTTTTAAAGATTTTTTAAAATTATTTTTTCTTTTTGTTATTTTAGCTCGTATATGGATAAAGCCACCAATTATTGACACTTTAACGAAATGTTTCAAGTAATTTACTTTAAACTTTTGTATTAAATAAAAGGGGAAAGTTAAATTTCCAAAAGAATTGAAAAACCATAGATTATAAGAATTTCGATGATACTCAAACTTTTTTAAATTAAAATTTTGTTTTTCCATTCCGAGCTCTGTTATTTTTATATTTACTTTTTTTATTTAGTTATGATTGTGTTACCATTTACCAATTTATGGTATTTTCTGTTTAGAAATAAGAGGACTGTGTCCAAGAAGGATTTTCTTTGAATCTCATCACATCTAAAGGAGGAGCCACGGATTTTAAGAGGTAAAATCTTTTATTATTTTAAATAGAATAAATATTAAATAAATGAATAAATATCACTTTAAATTTTATATAAAAATGTAATTATTATTAATAAAATATATTCATACTTCTCACATTTATTGCCTTAATGTGGAACGTTTCGGAAACTGTTTTCTATTGCCAAACATCTATATTGATACATCCCCTGCATTACTAGGAGAGCGATATTATATTGGACTGCGAGATTACGCATGCCTGATCAAGCAGGCAATATTCAGGCGTAGTAAAAAATAAATAAATAAATAAAATATTATTATCACTATAAAATTCATATAATTTTATGTTTTTTTATTATTTGTATCTGTAATTAGTCCGAAGAGATAGATATTTTTTTTTTCTTAATCCATAACTTTGTTTTGAGTTCCGGCAGTCTTCCAAAGAGTTCTATTCCTGATTAGTAAGACTTTTTAAGGCAGGAAGTAAAGCATAAATAAATCTCGCCCCTCAAAGTTCCAAATTTTACATCTTTCATAACTTGGAAGAAACGATATATATATATATATATATATATATATATATATATATATATATATATATATATATATTCCATTAGTATGCGGTGCCCAAGTTGTTAAAACTCTAAGGTGGCTACTAAAAATATAACATTTAAATCTTTGCAAGACGAAAACATTTTGTGTTTCACTTACTAGAAGTTTTTAGTTGGTTATTTTGGTGTATTTTTACAAAAACATTTTACTTTTTAAAAGTTCACAGTTTTACTTTTTGAAAGTTCACAGTAAAAGTTCCTTCAAGAACTTTTTGGCAAAGATTTTTAGTAAGTACTTCTAAGCACTTATCTGTTAAAAGTTCTCATTATTAAAGCTCCCACATTAGTTGTGAATGTACTTTTATAAAATGTCTCACAGAGAAAACACACCAAGATATTGATAGGAATTATTTAATAATATTTATTGAAGAGCTCTAGTTTCGGACAGCAGTGATATTTGCTGATAAAAATAAATTTAATATTTTTCGGTCCGATGGAAGTTCCTATGTGTAAAAGTTCCTATGAGGACCGAAAAACCTGCGTTGCTATAGACTGTAGCGCCTAAACGAATGTACCTATTTCAATGAAACTTCGCTAAAGTCATTTTCTCGACGCCCTTTAAATTTATCAATATAACATACTTCAACGAAAAGAAGCAGGAAAAAAAGTTACGAGGGATGGTAAAAATAAATTTCGAATAACTCAAAAAGTGTAAACTTTTTTGACGATATTGTGATAAGATATTTTAAAGGTATTTAAATTTCCTAAAAGAAAAAAGAAGTTTCATCGAAATCAAAGCACCATTAGTAGAGATATAGCGAGTTTAAAATATTGTTGGTTTATTATTTTCAATAATGAACCATTCTGATCGATCAAAAAATTCAAAAACTTAACCCTCTCTCAAAATTTGAGGACCACGTTTCAGGATACGTATAATTCGAAAAACGAAAAAAAAAATTTAATATTTATTTAAAAATAATCTCAGCTGAATATTTTAATTTTATTGAGTTTGTACATATTTAAATTGAGATTATAAATAAATCTGTTGAAGATTTTTCGGTTTTATTTATTTATTGTAAACGTTTAAGTCTATTTTTTATTCTACAAGAGGCTGTATCAATTTCACTGTGAGCCACTATATATATGTAAATAAGATCTATTAAAAATATCTATTAAATATGAATAGTAAAATATTTTAAGCCCTATAAAAATCTTAGTAACCATCGATAGAACTTCAAAGGGTAAACAAAGTGGTCGATTTATATAAATTTTTTTCACGCCTTTGGGATAGCAAAAAAACATAAAGATAAATAGCAACGAAGAATTCTAGCATAAATAAATGACAACAATCGACAGGAAAGACATATGTTTCCGGTCTACTTCGCAGCCATTGGCAGCTCTACCGAAATGGATCAGCTGTTACACAATAACTGAACCAAAATAAAATTTTCATTAACCTTTTATTGTTTCATTTTGCTACGTCGCTTTCAGAACTTCATATTCGTGGAGGGTGACAAAAATTAATATCACTAACAATATGATATAAATATAAACAATATAAAACCGGTGTATCGACTAACACTTTTCAACTGATTCTTGAGAAATTATAACAACTTTTAAAACAAAAACAACTAAGGTGCGAGTTTTAGACCATACTACAGAAGTAAAAATATCAACAAGTTGGTCCGTGCGAATAATTCACAGACATTTTTGTTTAGTGAAGAAATAGCAAAACAATATGGAAATAAGCAGTTCCTATTTATTATGCAAGGAAGGAATTAATATTTTTTCCTTGGACGATTACAATATTTCATTTAACATAATAAACCAAAATATTTGTACAATTGCCATGCTAGGACCTATTTTTAAACAATGACTGATGAAACGATGAAAGATAATAAAACTAATAAAGACAAAATAATGCCCCGATCATGGGATTTTTTAAATTATTAAAAAAAAATAAAATGTAAGAACAACCAAATGTTTTTTGTTTTTTTTTAATTGAAAAATATTACAATCTGTCTCTAAGACATTTATAATAGAGTTCACAGATCACATTCACACTCTATGTACAATAAATAAAATAAATTATACAGAAAAATAATATATATATACAATAAATAAGAATAAAATAACCTAAAAATAAATAAATAAAAAGAACACATACACACCTATATACAATGGTCTTTAAGAAATAATAAAGTTAATATATTAGCCAGGAAAAAAAATATAGTAGACTATTCTACTCCTAAATGCAATATCTTTAAGCAGGAAGAAATTATTAAGTATACTAAAACTAATGGACTGTATGTTTGTTAATAATTGTCCGATGTTTACAATTTCTTTTTGTTTTGTAGGTAATTTAGTCATCTTTCTAATTATCATGGGTAAAAAAAACAGGAGTTATTCTTTTTGAGTTATTCTCGAAAAAAAGATTTTTTTTCCTCCTTAACTTTTTTCCAGAAATTTCGGATGGATAGGACTATTTTTTGCATATGAAGTAGAAGAGCGGTCAATCAAAATGAGTGGTCAATCATTGGATTTGAAGAATTGACGAAGTTATGGCGTACCGGAAAAAAAATACCTTTTAGAAATAATATATAGGATTGTGAAGAGGATCAAATGCACAACAATTTCCTGGCTTATAGTATGCAGGTCCAATTTTTAGTTTATAGAATATTTTAATCCCTATACAAAAACACTTCAATTAGTCGACTCCAGCCGAGTTTACCCGAGCGTTACACATAGGAGATCTGACGGCTAAATCTAATTCACTCTCTACAAAAAAAGTGCAAAACGCGCTTAAAGAACTTTTCACTTCAAAAATATTGATTATGATATTACTATAAATTATTTATGAGATTATTAAGTAAAAAACCAAAAGGCGCTTATAAATAAAGCTATATAAATTTTTGTTATGAAAAAGAAACTTACGTACGTTTTTAAGAGTTCTTTAAAACACATTAATACGAATTTTTATAGATACCAAAAATTAAGAATTTTAATAAATCACTTTCTAGGAGTCCTAGAAACGCTTTCTGGGACAAATTAGAAGAATTATTAATCGATCCAGAAAGAAACTTTTCGCTATTATAAAGAGAATGAAATGCCTGACATTTCCCTCGTTTACAATATGCAGGTCGGATTTTCAGTTTCTGAGATATTTTAATCTCATATCTTCAATAAAACTCGTTAATATTTGGTTTTCGACACTATTTTTTATTTTTCGCCTCTCTAAGAAAATATCGCGTTAAGATGCAATTATAAATAATAAGCCACTAGTTGGCCTAAATTCGCAGAAATTTTTGTTTAGTGAAGAAATAGCAAAACAGTATGGAAATAAGTAGTTCCTATGTAAATAGAATGTAATTCCTATGTAAGGAAGGAATTAATATTTTTTCCTTAGTTGATTAAAATATTTCATTAAACATAATAGTACAAAATATTTATACAAATTACTTTGCTATTACCTATTTTTAAACGCTGACTGGAAAGATAATAAAAGAAATAAAAACAAAATAATGCCAGATCATAGGATATTCTAAATTATCGAAAAAAATAAAATGTAAGAACAACCAAATGTCTTGAAGAAAAAGTAAAGTCAATATAAAAGCCAGGAAAAAAAATGTAGTTGACTCCAAAATGCAATATCTTTAAACAGGAAGACATTATTAAGTATACCAAAACTAATGGACTCTTATCTTTGTTAATAATTGTCCGATTATTACGATTTTTTTTTTGTTTTGTAGGTAATTTATGGCGTACAATGGCCATGAAGTTATGGCGTACCGACAAAAAAACACCTTGTAGGAATAAGGATTACAGAGAGGATGAAAATATGAACATTTCTCTCGCTAACAATAAGCAAATCCGATAATTAGTTTTCGAGATATTTTACTCCAGCCTAACGTTACACATCGGAGATCTGACGGCTCTATCTAATTCTCTTCACAAAAAAAGTGCAAAACACGCCTAAAGACGTTTTCACTTCAAAAAACTTTTCTATTTATATGCACTCCAGTTTCCATGAATTAAATTCTGCCGTCAATTTTGTTAGTTTGAGATAAAACAAGTGTTGGCTGCCAGTTCACCTAATCTGTTATACTGCGCCTTTTGGCCGTCGATTTGGAAGTCAAACGTCTTATCTTCCTTTGAGAGTCGCATACTGTGAAGTGTAGTAATCAATAATGAAGCCAACATGAAGTTTATCTATCATACATGTTAAAAAAATCTATGATTTTCCTTTACAAGAACTGATAATGGGATCTACAGTTCACATTACCACTTTTACGAGAACTCTAGGGAACTCCATTTTCTAAAATATATAATCGCTGCTATAAATTTATAGATTTACAATTTCCACATTTTCGAATCTCTTTTTTAAGGTTGATGAAATTTTTTCTGTGCCGATTGAAACTTAGATGTCCTGGAGATCCTGCGTTTCTAAACTCCTTGCAAATTGCCGCGACATGGC